ATTTTAAATAGGCAATCTGAAAAGATCATCTAGACTTAAACATTATAAGAGATGTAGAAATTATACTGGAAACAAATGTAATTGGAGTATTTTGAAGCAATACTATGAATTGACATGATCAGTAGGGCATTTGCTACTAGCATAAAAGTCCTTTAATCCATAGTAGAAGTAACTCTCTGAATCTTTCAGAGTAAGCTATCTGTTCCTTCATTTTTGTTCTCTGTAGGTCAATCTCAGGGATCAAGTCAGCCAAGCTAATTTCTCCTCTGTCACAGAGTTCCTGTTGCTGGGGTTCTCTAGCCTCGGAGACATCCAGCTCATCCTTTTTGCTGTTTTCCTATGCCTATATCTGATTATTCTGAGTGGAAATATCACCATTGTCACTGTCATCCACCTGGATCACAGCCTGCACATACCTATGTACTTCTTCCTAGGAATCCTCTCCATTTCTGAGACATGCTACACCTTTGTCATCCTGCCCAAGATGCTCATAAATCTGTTGTCTCTACTCAGAACAATCTCCTTTATTAACTGTGCCACTCAGATGTTCTTCTTCCTTGGTTTCGCTGTCACTAATTGCATGCTACTGGGAGTGATGGGTTATGATCGTTACGCTGCCATCTGCCATCCACTTCGCTACCCGATCCTTATGTGCTGGCAGGTATGTGGACAACTGGCAGCAACTTGTGCTGTGATTGGTTTTCTGTTCTCACTGATAGGCTCCCTTTTAGTTTTTGAACTCCCTTTCTGTGGCCCAGACAAGATCAATCACTACTTCTGTGACATCTCACCAGCTATCCGGCTTGCCTGTGCTGATATCTACATCAATGAGCTAGTCATCTTCATTGGTGGAGTCCTAGCTCTTATGGTCCCTCTGACTTTCATTTGTGTCTCCTATGGCTTCATTGTTCGCACTCTCCTGAGGATACCATCAGTTGAAGGCAAGCGAAAAGCCTTCTCTACTTGTGCCTCCCATCTCACTGTGGTTATTGTCCACTATGGCTGTGCCTCCTTTGTCTACCTGCGACCATCAGCCAAGTACTCATCCAGCAAAGACAGGCTAGTGACAGTGACCTACACAGTTGTGACTCCATTGTTGAATCCCATGGTATATAGCCTCAGGAACAAGGATGTTCAGACAGCCATTCGGAAAATGATTGGCCGAGGAGGATTTTATCCTAAAGCTCTGTAATGAGAATATTTCTTATCTGTGGAAAGATTCTTTCTGAGGACATGGTAATAATTACAGTGCTAATAATATTTCTTTATAATTTACATAGCACTTTACCACTTTACTAGCCTCATAGTGCAAGCTTTCCATTATGTTGATGATCTTTGTGGGGTGTAACTGAAAACTTGGGCTTATTGAAAAATCAGGTCCGAGTCTCAAATACTTTGCAAACTTGCACAAATGAGTATCTTGATTTTTCAGGATACCTAAAGGATGATTTTAGTCTCTCCAGTGAAGGGTGAGTAAAACATTGTGGATAGTAATTTAGTATAGAAGAGTCAACTGTTGCAACTTCTCTATGGTTTAGGAAAATCTTAAGTAAGGCACTTCACAAAAAGATCATGGAGAAAATAGACCAAATATAATAGAACATTATTCATATATTAATAATTTGAGCTACAAGTGTTGGAAAAGATCCAAGGTTATTATTTCCACTGCTCTGTCATTGTAGGAGTCTCACCTGTAGCATTCCAATCTCAATTAACTGCTAAATAAGGAGTCACATCATTGTTAAATATCTCTAAGTG